AAGGGGCACTCCCTGCTCAGCCTGGGCGAGCACTGGCAGGTCAGCAAGGTCGGGGTCTGGAGCTTCCTCGACGCGGCGCGGCTGCAGGCGCTCGGCAGCTATCGCCCCGTCCCCTTCGTGCGCTTCTTCTCGCAGGTCAAGTTCGAGGTCCCGGTGCCGCACCCGGGCAAGAAGACCAAGGTCGTCCCGACCGTCCTGACGAGCTCCTTCGAGGAGTCCACCCGCTGGCTGATCCCCGCGAAGTCCTATGTCGATCTCCAGGTCGAGTTTTGCTGCGATCGCGCGGGCGACTACTCGATCCCGTGCACCTTCGGCATCGTCGGCTCGCAGCAGACGACGGAGCTCGTCGTCCAGGCCCTCGCGGCGATCCCGGACATCGGGCGGGACGACAAGGTCATCTTCCCCAACGTCCGGTCCCGCCTCCCGGCGAACGTTCCCCCGGCGAATGTGTTTTTGCAGTCCAAGATGACCTATTACTTCGGCTCGATTCTCATTCCCTCGCCGACGGTGAAGCCTCGGCGGGGGGACCGCTCGGCCTCCTTCCACGCCGCCCCCACCACCACCACCAGCTCCAGCATGGACTCCAACTCCACCAACGTCGGCGAGGTCCGGCTGACCTTCGTGAACCCCGGCAGCTTCCCCTGCGAGGTCAGTTTTGGGTTTTTGAAGGAAAAGGAGCGCAAGTTCGGCTTCAGCCCGAGCCGCTTGCGGTTGGAGGTGGGGGAGACGCAGACGGCGGTGCTGAGCGCCGCGCCGGAGGCGGTGGGGGAGATCACCAACACGCTGATCGCCTGCGTGAGTGGGAATCCGACGCCGTGGTTGGTGCATCTGTCCTGCATCGGCTCCCGCCCCTCGCTCACGTTGGACGACAAAAAAGAGGCCACGATCGACCTCGGGCGGACGATTATTCAGCGCCAGGCCGAGCGCCGCGTGAGCTTTCGCAATACCAGCAGCATGCCGATTCGGTGGCGGGTGGTGGGGCATGAGAAGCTCCCGGCGGAGCTGCAGTTGTCCGCGACCTCGGGCGTCCTCGACGTGCAGGAGGCCCAGCCGCTCGGGGTGACTTTCGTCCCGACGACGACCTGCTTTCACCAGTTTACCCTACAAGTCCAGGTCACCGACTCGCTGCTTCGCCCGGTCATTTATGAGACCCTCCCGCTGCTCGTGAAGGCGGAGGGCCACGACGTGATTATGGAGTGGACCCGCGAGGTCGCCTTCGGCATCCTGCACGTCGGGGAGACCAAGAAGGAGACGATTCGGATTCTGAACAAAGGCCCCTACGACGTGGGCTACATCCTGCGCTTCCCCAAGCGCCTGGCGAACGTCCTCGCGCTGAACTCGCAGAAGGGCGTGATTCGCGGGATGATGGGCTACAAAGACGCGGCGATGGTCAAGATCGACCTCACGGCGCACTTCGAGCAGGAGGGCGAGATCTCGCCCAAGCTCGGCCAGATCGAGCTCGCCTTTTTCGAGGTCGGCGTGGACGAGCTGCTCTATCCGATCCAAATCATCCCCGTCCGCGGCGAGGCGTGGTATACGCACTGCGTCTTTAAGCCGAGCGTCATCGACTTCGGCTCCTGCTTCGCGAACCAGTGCAAGGAGACCCGCTTCGAGATCCAGAACACGGGCCGCTTCCCCTTGCACTTCAGCCTCTTCAACTACAAGGAGGGCTGCGCCGGGCTCAAGCAGGCCGGGCTGGGCAATGGCGGCGGCGGCGGCAGC